TCTTCCTGGAGAGTCAGGTGTTCCTCCGTGTGGGCAGCTGCTGTCAGTGGTGATGCCTGAATCTGTGTGTGAGGGTGCCACTGACATGAGGTGTACACAGAACATGTTAGCCAAACCATAACTAAGGGGTGACTAGACCCACTGAGAGAAGAGATGTTAATTTTGATAATTCACTATTTCGAATAATAGCTTGGAAAAAGAGATGTAGTGCCACAGAGGGCCACAGTGTGGCAGCATAGAAGGGGAAAACAAAAAAAACACACACGTTAAAACAGAATTGTCCATACCAGCAGCCTTTCCAGAAAGAAAGGGGGCTCACACTGGACAGGGAAGGGTTTCTGGCTGCCTAAATCAGGTTAGTAGTTATCCACCAGTTGGAAATTTAATCTTAGACATTTGTCATTTTTCACATCCACAAACTTCTAAGTGTATGAAGCTGCTTTGATAGAATTTGTGTCACAGTGAAAGTCATAATTTAGTCATTAGCCTACGGCTTGTATTGTTTACCCTGTTACCTAAGTGGAGGCAGATGAATGGAAAAGGGAAAAGACACAGGAGCATGTTTAGATGAATTCTACCAAATGTTATTTCCCCAAAAATAAAAAACTGATAGTCCCAGGACACGACCATTTGGTTGAGCCCAGTGAATTGTCTCTTCTAATCATGTATTTTCCTTCACCTTTTCTTTCTCTCCTTTGGAGACCTTAGCCCAAGATCAATGAAGAAACCATAGAATAGCAAATGGTCTGGATTCCTTTGGCCTTTGCATTACGCCTTGGCAAGAATTATTAGCCACAGAAGCCAATCAGCTAATATAGGTTGGGTTTGTCTCTGCAGTGTGAGCCTAAATTTAAAGGTTTTAGGGCATCTGAGAGCAATGAGGAGTGGGCTTCTTTAGCTTTAGAGTAACTTTCTCAATCTCATTATGCTTTGCGTGGGAAAAGAATCTCCACAGAGCGATAAAGAAGCAGTTGTCCTGAGCTGCTTATTTGTAACATTCCAGCCAATTTTTTATAGGCTTGGAAGTAAATTTAGGTAGTAAAGTAAGCTAGCATTTGGATTTTCTTTAAAACACTGAAGCCAAACTGCTTGAGTAGAGTTGTCTCTTGGTGTCCACCAGGGATTGATTCCAGGACCCCCAAGCTTACCAAAATTCACAAATGCTCAAGTCCTTTATATAAAATGGGGTAGTACTTGCATATAACCTAGGCTTATCCTCCCATATACCTTAGTCATCTCTATATCACTGATAATACCTAATACAATGTAAATAGTTGTTATGCTATAGTATATGGGGAATGATAACAAGACAAAAGCCTGTACAAGTTCAGACTGTATATGGCCATCACAGACCTAATTATAGAGTTACACGTCGGCAATAAAGTAACGTTTTTCCGAGTATTTTTTATCTGGTTGGTTGAATCCACCGATGCGGACCCTATGGATATGGAGGGCTGACTCTATACCAGATGAAAATTAGTTTCTGTGTATGGAAAATTTTCCTTTCTCATCAGAAGGAAGATGAAAAAGAGGAGGATTTCTCTGTAACCTAAGAATTATTTTTTTCTCTGCTAATAACCTCCATCTGGTTGGTATAGCTACTGGAGTGAAACCATATGACTGGTGCTACATCTCACAGCCCAGCTGAGCACTCAGGGCTCCATGTCAGTGTTTTCAAAATTCTTGTCAATATTTGTCTTTTTTTCTTTGTCAGTTTCTTCTGGCATTTCCCCCATCAACTATCCTGACCTTCACCTCTTTCTTTAGCCTACCTGCTTCACGCCTAAGTTCTCATTCCTTGTAAAACATTATGGCCATCCCACTGTCTTCACATTCAAACATATCCTTTACTTTTTTACTTTTAGTCTCAGAATAGGGGATGTTTCCTTTTATTCATTCATCACTTCTTCTAGGACACTCTATTTAGCTGGGCCTTTTCAGATACCAGATTCTATTTGCCACCCCCTCTCTCTTCAGTGTTTCGAAAATAAACATTCATGTGTGGCTCAAAATGGGTAACAGTGTAAAGTATATATATTTCATTAAATATATCACATAGCATATAAAATTTAAATCCTCTCATCACTTTCTAATGTAACTTCCTATAGTATTACTATGGTTACTATTCAGATTAGCTGATAACTTTAAAAGTCTTACTTTGTGCCAGATACTCTTCTATTTGCTGTATACACATTAAGTCATTGACAGGGAACTGGGTATTCTTCTCTGATTTAATAATATATTAACATAAAGATTTTAGGTCGTTTTTTTTCCTTCCTCTTTTGTTTTAGACCAATCCTTTATACCTGGCTAAGCTGATTTTCCAGATGCCACAGAACAAGTCCACTAAATTTATGGATACTGTTATTTTCACACTATACAACTATGCTTCCAATCAGCGAGAAGAATATCTACTCCTCAAGCTTTTTAAAACCGCTCTGGAAGAAGAAGTAAAGTATGTATATAAATCTTAAAAGTTATTTATACCTATTAAATATATCAAGTTTCTTAAGAAATTTCTACATCATTATAAGTTATGCAAGTACAACTTTCCTTCACCAGTGATATCTTTTCTAATGCTAAACTAACTTTCGATTCTATACAACAACTGGAAATCAAAAGCTTTTTTGAAAGTCAGTAAGAAAATTTAACATAATTAAAATTATGTAAGTAACAAAGCCACAAGATAAGGATCTCTGCTAAATAGTGTTCCCTTCTTACTGAAACTTAAGCTTATTTTTGCTAATTTGCTAATTTGTTTTCTGACTCAGTAAATGTAAAAAAAAAAGTGTAGGTAGCTATAATGAAAGGACAAAAAATAATAACACACACACAAAAAAAATCAACACATGAGGAATGCCCTTAGCCAACTAGATGGACCTTAACTTTCTTCCTGCCTTCTTGACACCTGAAGCATATTAGCTAGGCCCTCTGCCCTCAGGGTGTCTATAAACCAGCATGAGAAATAGAATTCATGAGAAATAGTAATGCTGTGCCAAAGAATAAGGTAAGAACTAAATGAATGAAGCACACAGTGTAACATCAGAGGGATGGTAAGAAGTTTCAATTAGGTCAGTTGATAAAGATATTATGGAAGAGGAGGTAGTTGGCCCAAAGCCTTGAAGAATATCTATAGTTTATAAGAAGAAATGGAAAAAGGAAATAAGGCACAGTGATGATAGAAGCAGCATGGGCCGAGGTACAAGAAAAAGAAGACTACCCTCACCAAGATGTGACTTAATTAGTGACTATTAGTGGTTGAGCCAGATCATGGAAGATAGTGAGGACAGGACCACCTGATGAGCCTCTTACTCCCTGGAAAGCTATAAGGTTTTGGAGAAGAAATATGGATATGACCACATTGGGTTTAGAAGATTGACCAGCTGGCCATGTATGAATTGGAGCTACACAGATCAGAGAATAAGAAGGAGAAAGATAGTTTGTGTTTTTAATATACTCAGTAGGACGTGGATGAAAATATCCAGCAGAAAACTGGAAATTTAAGACTAACTCCCAGGAAAGAGATGGGGAATAGATATCAGATCAAAGGATAGGCTGCAGAGATATGGTCATTGCAGTTGTGCCTGAGCGAGATCTGAGGAGAGAACATGTAGAAGGTGAAGGAAAACAAGTCAAAGGTGGGAAGAGGAGACGGCAAAAGAAACAAAATGAATGACTAGGAAAGACCCTGGCACTCTGAGACCCTAGAGGGAAAGCCAGTGGAAACGGGAGACAGTGGTCCAGTGGGAGGAGGGGGAGAGGTTGCTCAGAGATGGAAGGTTGGAGAGAGGGAAGGTCAGAGAGTTGGCAATCAGAAATAAAGATTTCTCTCAGCCCTGTGATGGAGCCAGAAGCCACTAGCCTAGAATTTGAGTGGGACTTAAAGAAGTGGAGATAGTCCATTCAGTCAAGAAAGTTATTTTTGAAATTTGGTAACTAGAGGGGGCACAGTACTTGTACAGTGTCCCCCAGTGGTATTAGTCTTGGTCCATTTTCAGTTCCTTCCTGCCTCCTAGATTGAGATTACGGCAGAGAACCTATTTTTAAACCCTTAAATTTCTCAAATCAGAAACATTCATGTTACAAATGATAGCTTCCTTTTAAGTCATACTATCTTTGATCGCCAATGGAGAAAAATATAGCCCCAGGAAGCCCTCGCCTGCCAGAGAGAATATACATTGTTTAAAACTATCCACAGAGGCAAACCTTTTTGTTTTGGGTTGGGCTTTTTTTAGATCAAAGGTGGACCAGGTACAGGACATCGTTACTGGGAACCCTACAGTCATCAAGATGGTCGTCAGCTTCAACAGAGGCGCCCGTGGGCAGAACACGCTGCGCCAGCTCCTGGCTCCAGTGGTGAAGGAGATCCTGGATGACAGCTCCCTGGTCATCAACACGAACCCTGTGGAGGTGTACAAGTCTTGGGTGAACCAACTAGAAACGCAGACTGGAGAAGCCAGGTAACAAAGCCAGGAAGATGTTGTTTTCCAATCATGCTTCATGGTCATTTTTACATGTGTATTACATATATTCTTAAGCTCTGTCAAGCTCTGTTAAAAGATCAAAACGTACTGTACAAATTCCATTCAATCCAAGATGTTACCTCCCTTTAACTTACGGTGCAGGTCACATTCTTAGAATACTGCTCATCTTGATAGTACACGATGTTGTGACATTTCAGTACCAGTTGATCCCCCATAATCCTCTCCCTTGGTTATTCTTTGTGTGTTTCTAAACTAGATCTAGAAATGGTACACCTGACAATACATACTTTTTTAGACTTACCAAGTAAGTAACTTTAACGTGTAAGCATCAACAAGCCAGGTGGGATTGGCTTGTTCTAGGCAGTGGTTTTTTAGATCTAAGCAATCCCAGTTTTTTATTGCCTGCAAAAGGATGCCTTGTGAAGTCATGAAGATATGCACAGAGAACTCTGGTTGTCATAGCAGCATTTGTAATAGCAAAAGTTGGGCAAAGTCAAAATATTTAGCTTTGGGGAATTTGTTAAATAAATGTTTGTGTGACATAATGGAGTAGTCGGTAACTATTTGGAATCATGGTATAGAAATCTGTTTATTGGCATGGAAAAATGTTCACAACTTAGTTTTCAGTTGCAGTTAATATAGTGACTCATTTTCTTTAAAAGGAAATACTTTTGAATACGCACACACAAATACACAAGTACACATAGGATCTGTGTGGGGAGTGTATATACACAAACTGCATTGTACCCATGAGTGTATGAGGCCCATATACTCACGTGCATAGATGGAGGACCCAGAAAACTGTGGACTAAGATATGAAAAGTGGTTTTCTGTAAATTCGTGTGTGTTTTTCTTGTTGGCTTATATGCAGTTCTTTTCTGTAAAAGAATTTTTAAAAAGAGGAAGAAAGTTAACTGGATCTGCCAGTTACTTTGCCCGAAGAGCTCAGAGGGAGAGCCCGGAATGCCCTGCTCCCCTACTGGCAGAGGACCATCTGGGCATGTGAAGCTTACCCTCACTTAGCAAACCGTTTGTCCCTGGAGACAGTGGGCAAAGTCCAGTTCACTATACAAAGTTTAACTATAGCATCAACTTGGCAAGGATACAAATGCTTGTACCTATGCACTATAAAATTGCAAGCCCTTGTTGTGTTTTCAGCAACCTGCCTTACGATGTGACCGCAGAACAGGCTCTGACATACCCCGAAGTGAAAAGTAAACTGGATGCATCCAATGAGAGCCTGCGCAGGGTCACCGACAAAGTCCTGAATTCCATCATTTCCTCCCTTGATCTACTGCCGTAAGTTCTGTTATTAGCAACTTTAGCAGTCTTTGCTGAAAGTTCTTGAAATAATCCGTAAAATAAACCCCAGTAGTGAAGATAGGAATTTTCTCTCATATTTACCGTTTTAAACATTTGCCTACATTTGCATTTTAAATTCATAACTATTCTCCAAAGAGGAAAGTATACAAACCCGTATTCAGTTACTGTCATCCATGGAAGTCCTTTGATTCCGTTACCATCTCATGTTATGTTTAATTTTAGGAAAATGCTCAGCTTTCGTTGACTGGAACAATTGGTGTGTATTCCTTTCTCACTTAGGTTTTTTTCCATTACTTTCTTTTGTCATCTGTTTTACATGTAGTTATGGATTGAGGTATATAGCCAAAGTACTGAAGAATTCAATCCATGAGAAATTTCCCGATGCAACAGAAGATGAGCTATTAAAGGTAGATGTTCAAGGGTAATCTCACCGTAGCTTCTCTTGGGGGTATGAGCCAAAATTACCAACACACCATTTTGTAAGATTTCTTTCACCTTCTATGACTATGTATAAAAAGCTGCAGGTCTATTTCTAACAGTTATTGTAATTGTTGATTATGGAGATCTTACACATGATTGAGATTCTTTAAATTAGATCATTTGGGGGGCAGTATTATATTTTTCACCAAAAATAATTTTGTTAACTCTATTAATGAGTGATTATATTCACTACCTTTATTTAACACCTTATATTAGAAAATAATTTGCTTTCTTGGGAAACGTCAATCAATATTTACTTTCGAAAAAACCCAAACACTTGAGTTTTCTCTCTTAAATAGTCTTCTCCATCACTCCAGATTGTTGGGAACCTCCTGTACTATCGGTACATGAACCCAGCTATTGTAGCTCCGGACGGCTTTGATATCATCGACATGACGGCCGGTGGTCAGATCAATTCTGACCAGAGGAGAAACTTGGGAACGGTGGCCAAGGTCCTTCAGCATGCAGCCTCCAACAAGCTGTTTGAAGGAGAAAATGAGCATCTCGCATCTACAAACAATTATTTATCAGAGACGTATCAGAAGTTCAGGTGAGAGGGGTCATTTTGGAGAAACTTGCAAAGTGGTGCAAAAGAATAATGTATGTTCTGTGTTCAGAGCTAGAGTTGGGGGGCAGGAACCTCGGGTGGTCACATGCACTTCTACAAGTGAGCACTGAGGGGAAGAGGAAGAGAGACAAGCAGGCTGGGTCACTTCTGTCTGGTGCTCCCCATCCCACCTCCAGAGCCCTGTTACATTGACTTATCCCCCTATGTATGATTTTTACTTATTGACAAAATGAAATACTTACTCTTGGTGGCATGCTATAGGCCAGTGATGGCGAACCTTTTGAGCTTGGCGAACCTTTTGATCTCGGCATGTCAGCGTTTTGAAAAACCCTAACTTAACTCTGGTGCCGTGTCACATATAGAAATTTTTTGATATTTGCAACCATAATAAAACAAAGACTTATATTTTTGATATTTATTTTATATATTTAAATGCCATTTAACAACAAAAAATCAACCAAAAAAATGAGTTCACGTGTCACCCCTGACACGCGTGTCATAGGTTCACCATCACTGCTGTAGGCTTATAGTAGTTAGAATTAAAATAGCTGATTTTTGTTTTTTTGAACTTGAGGGTTTTGTCTGTTTTTAAGAACTTGTTCAATCAGGAGAAACTTGCCTTATCTGCATCAAACAATAAGTAGGAAACTGAGTAGTTGGTTTGAATGGTTGGGGAGGTCCAGCTTTTGTGCTTGGGAGGGTCACGTGTGTGGACGTGTTCTGTTCTAGTCTCAAACCTTTCCTCATTATTCACGTAAGACTGAAGCCTATTGATTTTCAAAGCAGCTCCAGAGCCCGTCACTTGTTATTCCACGGGGACGTGAAGGAGTGAGAGTAGCAGGAAGAGCCCTCACATGCTGCTGTCTGAGGAAACATATTCATCTTGCCCTTCAGTTTTCTCTTGTCTGCCATTCGGTCAGAGAAGCATGACCTAGCTGTGGCCTCTTCCACGCCTCACTTGGAAAATGATAACTTCCCACTCCTCAGTTGTGTTCTGGGTAGTGATTTATCTACTGACAAAGATCGTTGCTGATTATTGATCTCTATTTGGAATTTGTGGCCTCCTATTAAAAACATCCCCCAAATCCTCCCACCATAGGAAGTTTCGATTTCTCAAGCTGCTAAGGTTTGGTCTTCTCACTGACCGAAAAAATAATATCCATTTCCCTGCAAACCCTTATTTGCTGTGGCAGTTTCCCTCTACTTTTTTCTCAGATTATACCCGTTAACCATCTATGTTCCCAACTCTTCAAAACCCTCCCCTCAACGCTTAAATTCCTCTGTTTTTCCCTCTTCCTCTAATACTTATTCTTTATATACTTCAGCAACTCGTGATAAATTATAGACAAAAAAGTGCAGAAGACCAGTTGTCAGATGGGAACTTGCTCCTGCCCACCCCAGCATGGCTGCCTGCCATTCACCTCCCCCAGCCTTGGGGTGGGAAGGCAGGGGTCAGTTCTTGTGCACAAAAGCCTCGGGTATCCTTAGGGTATACACCAAGGATCCTTTGAGGCATCTGAAATATTTACAACTTTATGGAATAGAACACCTACTCTCCCTGTGCAGAGGATCACTCCAAAACCATGATGCCAGCACACCTGGCTCTCTCTGTCTAAACTTCCCATAGCTTAAAATAGCAGGCGTTTTAGAGTCTGGGTTCTGGAGGAACGGGGCACTGTACGCAGTTGTGTGTCTATCCTTAATAGTATTTCCATCAGCCACAACTGTTGTTTGGATCAACTGAGTAGAGAAGATGTAACTCAAACTTTTGTCAAATTGATAACAGAAGCTCTGGAGGGTTGTTGAGTATTGAAGGTCTAGGACAGTGATGGCGAACCTATGACATGCGTGTCAGAGGTGACACGCAAACTCATTTTTTTGGTTGATTTTTCTTTGTTAAATGGCATTTAAATATATAAAATAAATATCAAAAATATAAGTCTTTGTTTTACTATGGTTGCAAATATCAAAAAATTTCTATGTGTGACACAGCACCAGCGTTAAATTAGGGTTTTTCAAAATGCTGACATGCCGAGCTCAAAAGGTTCGCCATCACTGGTCTAGGGGCTTGTGACATTTAAAGTAGCAAATTAGACCTGGCCGGCATGGGTCAGTGGTTGAGCGTTGACCTATGAACCAGGAGGTCACAGCTCGATTCCCAGTCAAGGCACATGCCTGGGTTGTGGGCTTGATCCCCAGTGTGAGGCATGCAGGAGGTAGCCAATCAATGATCTCATCATTGATGTTTCTCTCTCTCCCTCTCCCTCTCTGAAATCAATAAAAATATATTTAAAAAATAATAAAGTAGCAAATTTGGTTGTTTTTTGAATTGTTTTCTGTAGGGAGTCTTGATTCTTAGATCAAGGATTAATAGTCTTGATATTTTTGTTTAAATTTTAGGGCCATTTTTAAAATAATATATATTAAATGACCTGCCCATAATTTGATTATATTGAGTCACTAACAGGGCCCATCTGAGGAGTTGGGTTAAACATCCAGAAACATGGACTCGGCTTCCACAGTCAGGAGCCAGCCTGGAAGATGCTGTAACAACTCCCTCCTCCCCCCTCCCACCCCCCTCACCAGCACCACCACCACCAAGAGAACAAAGAATTAGTCATCATTCAAGATTTTCTCACTATTTATAAGGCTGTTTAACTCACCGATTTGACTATCTTAAGACCTTTTTTTCTTTTTTAGGAAATATTTCAAAGAAGCATGTGATGTCCCCGAGCCAGAAGAAAAGTTTAATATGGATAAATACACAGATGTGGTGACAGTCAGCAAACCCGTCATTTATATTTCAATTGAAGAAATCATCAACACACATTCAGTAAGTGGGGTTGGAAAAGGCTCTGCGTTCTGACATCTGTGTCTTGAAAATGCTTAGTGTTTCTAGGGGGCTTATGTAAGCATGTGCGAATGCTCATGTTCTTGATTCTACAGAACATTTGATTATTTATTCCCTGACTCTTAGGCATTAGTAAAACTCCTTCTTCCAAGAAAAGTTTACTTTTTCCATGATCTATTTGCAAAGTCAGATTGTGAATGTGCTGTTTAAGCCCTGAGCAGGGGCAGGACCTGGTATTTTCCCCACCTACCAAGGCCACACTGCCTGCACCGCCATATACTGTCTCTCTCCCTTTCAGGAGTCCTCTCAGCTTTTCCAGAAATTCCATGGGAAAATGAAAATGTTTTCTCTATTCTAATTTTGGACATAAAGAGGAAACAGACAGACTGCTCAAAGTTAGGGAAAAGAAGACACCCACCCACCCACCCACAATAGCCACCTACCAAGAATCACTTCTATTCTGGAAACCCTCATTTCTTAGAAATGGCAGTTTTAGTCTGTGCTGTGTCATAATGTCTCCATCTGGTTCTGCAAACAGCAGCACCATCGCCTGTGTATTAAGTGCCTGTTGGGGGCAGGGCAGTAAAGAGAGGTTAAGCACTGAGGGTGTTTGATGGGGGGCTTGGTGTTTTCTTTTGCCTTTTTAAAGACAAGTTTGAACTTACTTCCTGAAAATTCTAGGTTCTTAAAAGGTAACCTTTTCGAGATTAGTTTTGCACCTTGCCACTCCAAGCCAAGTTGTGGAGATGAGTTCCAGATGTGCCCCAGACCTTCCAAGTCAGAACCTGCATTCTAACAAGATCCCCGGTGGTCCAGATACGCACTAAAGGTCAAGAAGCCATGGTTGAGGATACACCGAGCTTGGGATGCTACACACAACTAGGAGGAAAACATAACAAATACACACTTCTTAGAGGCCCTACCCCTGCCCCCATCAAACAAGCTATGCTAACAAGTGGCAACATTGGCTGCTCAAAATTCAGTCTTTTTTATTAAGCTCTTCTAAGAAACTACAGCTTGAGGTTTGGAAGAAAGATTGGATCTACTTTTGATTTCTCTTTTTCAGAGTTAGAGCAGGGAACCTCCTCAGCATTTCAACAAGCTCTCCATAAAAACTGTGAGGGACCCCAAACAAAGGCAGGTCTGAATGGCCAGCTGCAGGAGTGAGTTGGTTGATTAAATGAAGAGGCTGTGCTTCTTATCTCTATATACAAACACCCAAAATCCCAAAGGAAACATGTCCACGTCCAGCAATGTATCCTTTGCCAAAGTGACTCTCTAATGAGCAGGTAGACTCATTCATATTTGAGCAGCATCCCATTTGTCCATTTCTACCGGTAGATCATCCACCTCAAAGAAAGTGTCCACAAGGTGGCGCACTTTTCTGAGGGCATCGCCCGCCTGCAGAAAGTGTTGGGAGTCCTCTTTTGGAAGGAGGGATTCTTTCCCAAGGACAGCAGAGAGAACACTGTTACTGTGTTCATTTGGGCTGTTCCTTTTTAAGGAAAATTAGTCTGTTCCTTTTGTGATCGAAAATTGAAAACAGAATCCAATCCTGGGAAACACAGCGCGTGACTGGAGTCCCTCCATGTGCTAGGCTGGAAGCAGACATAATAACGTGGGAGTAATGTCCTTTCAGAGAAAGACTGTCCTGTTTACTGTCTGTCTCAAGTGAGGAGGTGTCCACATGCAGACACAAGCACGCAGCAGCGTGACGTGCCAAGCCTGTGGCCACATGCTTGCCCCTTGTTCTCTAAGGAACATGTACACGACCTCAAAATAAGCTCTTCAATGAGACATTTTTAGGCAATTCTCGTGTTCTGTAAATATCAGAATAGAAGGTAGCAGCTGGCCCCCCTTCCAGGGACAGTAGCGAGATCACTTATCCTGTCTCTTCATAAGACAAGAACACAGATTTCTCCATCTTGCTTATTGTGTTCCTGTCTCTAACTTGTCTTCCCCCAAAACATATCCTATATGTGGTCCTTCCACATTTCACTATGTCTTTATATTGCCTCTATTATTTATATAATGTCTTTCTTTAAATCAACTCACCTTTTTTTTTAACATAAAACATAGATCTTTGCTTTAAAACAAAATACCTCTAACTATAGCGGGAAAACTATCATGCCTTACAATAAACAGACACTTTAAAAGTAAATAAATGCAATGAAAACTGAGGAGTTGGATATAGTTGCTTCCTTGAAGCTGTGCACCTTGAGACCTCCTCTCCCTTTCTTAAAACTCCACTTAGCAAGTGTCACGAAATGTTAAGGAAAGCTCAGCATTAAACAGGCACTGTCTCCCCCACTGATCCTGCAGATGAAAAGAGAATGGAAAAGGAAGTAAGCAAGGCAGTGTGGAGCTGGCATAAGGATAGACATACCAGTCAATGGGATGGAACTGAGCCTAGAAATAAACCTTCAAACTTATGGTCCATTCTGTTTTCAACAAGGGACTAAAACAGTTCAGTGGGAAAATAATGCTCTTCAACATACAGTGCTGGGGCAACTGGAAATCTATATGTCAAGAATGAAGTCGGACCCCTTCCTTCAAATCTACTCAAAAATGAACTCAAAATGAATCAGAGCATGGCCAGTATGGCTCAGTGGTTGAGCATTGACCTATGAACCAGGAGGTCACAATTCGATCCCCAGTCAGGGCATATGCCCAGGTTGTGGGCTCAGTCCCTAGTAGAGGGCCTGTAGGAGGCAGCCAATCAATAGATGTTTCTATCTCTCCCTTCTCCCTCTCCCTTCCTATCTCTCTAAAGATCAATAAAAACATATTTTTTAAAAAAATTTTAATGGGCAAATGATCTGAATAGAGATTTTTCCAAGGAAGATATATGGGCATACCTTGCATTAGTGCACATTTTTTACAAATTGAAGGCAAGACCCTCCACCAGTGAAGACCCTCCACTCACTTTATTGTAATACTCTTTATTGAGGTGGCCTGGAACCGAACTACAGTCTCTGAGGTTTGCCCGTAGTCATGGTCAATAAGCCCATGAAAAGATGCTCAAATTCACATCAGATAATGTGAATCAAAACCACAGTGAGATATCACCTTCACACCCACTGGGATGGCTAGAGTAAAATCAAGTAATAAGGATGTGGAAGGATGTGGAATAATGGAAACTCATATACTGCTTGTAGAAGTGTAAAATGGTACGGCCACTTTGGAAATCAGTTTGGCAATTCCCAAATATTAAACATGGAGTTACTGTGTGATGCAGCAATTGTACTCGTAGGTATGAACCCAAGAAAAATGAAAACATGTTCACACAAAAACTTATACATGAATGTTCACAGTATCGTTATTCATAATAGACAGAAAGTGGAAACAAGTGACAATCAACAGATGAATGATGTGTGATATCTCTATATAATGGAACACTGATTATTCAGCCATAAAGAGGAATGAAGTACTGATCTATGCTACAACATGGATGAACCTTGAAGTCATCATGCTCAGTGAAAGAAGCCAGTACAAAAGGCCACAGAGTGTATGATTTCATGCACATGAAGCAGCCAGAACAGCCAAATCTAGAGAGATAGATAGTCAATTAATGGTTTCCGGGGGCTAGGAGGATGGGGTAATGGAGAGTGACAGCTAATGGGTAGTTTCTTTTTTGAGTGATGAAAATGTTCTGAAATTAGTGGTGATGGTTGCACAATTCTTTGAATATACTAACAGTCATCACATCATACATTTTAAATGAGTAGATTTCATGATATGCTAATGATATCTAAATAAAGCTTTTAAAAACAGGTTGAAAATGGAAAAGATGAATTTTATCATTCTGACCCAGTTTTGTAAGATAGTTATGCAAAACAGCTTAAATTATTTTCTATCACCAGGGGTACAAGTCCCATACTTTGGAAACATTGTTTTAATTTAATTCTAAATACAAACAAAAACAGCTGTGCTGTTCTTCAGTTTTCCCCTCCAATGCTACTGCTCCTCCAAGTTAAGAATGTTTCTTCTAAGAGTTGGCAAAATGCCCCACCAGTGTTACTCACCTTTGATCTTTTTGGAGGGGGGTGGTGAAAGGGAGAACCAGCTGGTACGCCTAGGTCTCAGGCCAAAGAACCATATGGGTATTTCTGCCATCCCTACCCGTGAAGGATCTTCAGGGCCGTTCAGATTAAAATAGTTAATAGTGGTTATTTTTTTCCATGTTTTTATTGATTTCAGAAAGAGGGGGCGAGAGATAGAAACAGCAATGATGAGAGAGAATCATCAAGCAGCTGCCTCTTCACGCCCCCTACTGGGGGTTAAGCCGGCCACCTGGGCATGTGCCCTGACCAGAATCAAACTGTGACCTCCTGGTTCATGGATCTAGCTCAACCACTGAGCCACACCAGCCGGACAATAGTGGTGATTTTTTCAAAGTAGCTGTAGTGTTTGATTACTGCATAGTTCTTCTCTGAAAAGATATGGAAATGCCCTTCCAGTTGGCTACCAGTGTAAACCACCTTGACTCATTTTAGAATGTTTCCCCCAACTTTGACTTTTTCTATAAAGGAGGGGAGCACCGGGATCAGGTGGCAGAAGGCTGCCGCTCGGCAGACCTTGCTGAAAGGGGGGTATGAGCACCTTTCACAAAGCTACAATTTTTTGACAAGAAGTAGACACTTCCCTCTAAGATAAAATAAAAACTGTACCTCTGTGGTCTCTAATTTTAATAAATGTCAGACTTGTAATTAAGATTCAAACAATATCAGAATAAAATTACCATGAAAAACTGGAAACTGTATCAATATAGTATCAGCTAAGAATTTACTTGTGTGTGTTGCTTTCTCTATACAGCTCCTGTTGGAACACCAGGATGCGATAGCACCTGAAAAAAATGACTTACTGAATGAACTGTTGGAATTGCTGGGAGAAGTGCCTACTGTGGAATCTTTTCTTGGTAAGAGAGTATCCCTTCTACTTACTCTCTGGCTTGTCTGTAGTAGTTTGGTTGGTTGGTTGGTTGGTTGGTTGGTTGACTCATTGTCTTTCCAATCCTAGATCAGAAGTTTTTTGAAATTTATCACCTAAGCTTATTTAAAGAATAATAAGTACAGTAGCTACTTCCTACATTAAAGGTTCTATAACTTGTAGTATCCTATAGTATAGAACACTTTGATATTCTTGAAGGTCAGTTCTAAATGCATCATAAATAATATCTGTCAACCTATTTCATAAAGAAAGAAAAGAGTCAAGTTAATTAGAAATTTCTGGCTGTGTTATCAAAATTTCTAAGGATTTTTTTAACAATTCTCCCTTTTAGTAATTTTTCATATTTTGAATATCTGTGTCCCATGTTGTTTTAACTTAAAATCTAAGTTTTTTTTAATCCTCGCCCAAGAATATATTTAGAGAGAGGAGGGAGAGAGGTAGACATCCACGTGAGAAACATCAGTTGGTAATTGGTTGCCTCCTGTTCGCGCCCCAGCTGGGGATCAAACCTGCAACCTAGGTATGTGCCCTGACCTGGACGAACCGGCAACCTTTTGGTGCATGGAATGATGCTCCAACCAACTGAGCCACCTGGATAGGGCAAAATCAAAGACTTTTTTAAAAATATATTTTTATTGATTTCAGAGAAGAAGGGAGAAGTAGAGAAAGATAGAAACATCAATGATGAGAGAGAATCATTGATTGCCTGCCTCCTGCACACCCCACACTGGGGATCGAGCCCGCAACCCAGGCTTGTGCCCCAACCAGGAATCAAATTGGGACCTCTTGGTTCATAGATCAACGCTCAACCAGTGAGCCATGTCAGCCGGGCAAAATCAAAGACTTTTAAAAGCCACTTTCAGTGTATTGGGATGTGGGAGTTTTTATGAAGACCATGATCTCCTGTCTAACTACTGAGCCTACCTTTCCCATGGGACCTTTATCTTACATTGTTGATGCACCATCACAATGAGTGAATTGAGAGAATAACAATTTTTTTTTTCTACAGGGGAAGGAGCCATTGATCCCAATGACCCTAACAAGGCGAATACACTAAATCAGCTCTCAAAGACTGAGATTTCCCTTTCCTTGACAAGCAAGTACAACTTAGGGGATGGTGAAGGTATAGATGGCCAAAGCCTCATGATAAAGTAAGTTTGGGGCTTAAAGGGCACATGTTCCAAATTATGCATCTTAAACCATACAAATTCAAACAAGGCTAAATCCCCAAATAATTCATTTCAAAATGTCTACTCTACATATTGAAATGCATTATGGTTACCCATCAAACAATTAACCAAACAAATGACAATAGACTCTCTATAATTTAAGAGGGAACTAAATATTATAATAGTGTATAAAGCCTGTCTTTTTTTTTTTCTTATTGTAATGTGATTATTTTCCTTTAAGAAATGAAGTGATTAACTCAGCCTGTAAAAGTCTTTAGCTAACCCAGGGGAAATATCTGTTTCAGAGTGGTCAGAAGATTAGTGAGGAAATACCGTGAACCAAATTTGATTTGTGGTATAAAATAGTTATGTAAAAGGCACACACATGATATGACATAATGCCATCATCTGATTTATTAGCCTTCTTTTCTATTAAACTAAGCCTGGATACACTTACCAGCTTTGACTTAATTTTTACCTTTCTTCCCACTCCCAAATATTTCAAATGAAGCATTCAATTTTTAAATAATAGGGTATTCTTTCGCTCAAGGCCTCCTGGATATTCCATACCAGCTCTTTACCGCAGAGTAAGAAAGAATGAGATCCCTGATGGCAGCATGAATTCAAACATCGTAAACCAGGAATACTTGCTCACCAAACAGTACAGTTTTTAAGAACTCACGTAAACCAAAGGATATGTGTTTGCACATTGGAACAGTTGCATATTGGGGTGAGATGGAGACTGGACATGAGAATAGAGACAAAAGAAATAAATGTGTCTTTAAATAACACTTCACACAGACTTCCAAGCTGCATGCCCTGAGTTCTGAGGTTGCTTTCATTTGTGCCAGGAGCTTCTATTCTGCCCCTGACATGCTTCAGACAGCACTCATTTCCAGTTGATGTTTTTCCAGATATTTAGACCATGGCCATAAAAGCGCATCACAGCATCGGTGTGCTGTGATGTGTGCTGTTTCCATTACGCTTACTTATTTTATCCTCCTATCACCTAAGGCTCTATTCGTTCATGTGGCAAATATCTGAGTGCTGATGCTGTGTCCACAGCACTGGGCTTGATGCTGGGATACAGCAGTGAGCAAGCCAGGACAGGTCCCTGCCTGTCTGAAGAGTCTGAATCTTCAGAGGACAAGATGCCGGACTCATACATAACCTTGGCCTCAGTGCATTGAGTGCCGTTCCTTTAGACTACTGATGACCCAGGCAGGTTAAAGTTGTGCAGCCAGAACACAGGGCAGAGCAACAGAGCAAAGGGGGGAAATGGTGCAGTCTACTCGCTGGGTTCCTCGAGCAAGTGCCAATGACAAAGGGAACTGGAAATACAGATTGTGTGTTCCCGCCATGCAAATTAAATTAGGTCACGTATCCTACGATCTCATAAGCTTTGAGCTTAGAAATAATGCAAAGACATTTTCTTTCATAATTGGTTTTGTCTGCTATTTGAACATCATTTTCTAAATGCGCTCAGTGAAATGCCTGCATTCATGAATGTAAATCACAATTTCGATAGTCTAAAATATTAATAATTTAAATATCATATGTACTTATGCTTATTTCTGAATGTGAGTCCCATGGTTCTGCCAGTTTTGGGAATTCACGTTTTTCAAAGCAAAACTGAAAAAGTCAGGCCCATCTGTCTAAGGGAAACCTGAGCCTTGTCCTGCTTGCCCCAGCCCTAGAGGGGTTCCCTCCCAGCTCCCCACTGTGTGCTGAAAACAGATAGTCTGCCCCTTTAATATCCATGCTAAGTAGAGCCAGCCACTGGTTTTATTTCAAGATTCTTTCGGCTACTTGGGTTCTTTGCAATTCCATGTGAATTACAGAATCTTTTCCATTTATACAGAAAAGGCTGTTGGGCCAGTGTATTAATACACTTGATAATTCACTGCTTTCCTAGACCTCTGGAGTCTAGAGAGCCTTTCTGTGGGCACGCCTCAAGATCCTGTTGTTGGCATACTTCACTAAATAGCCCAGTGATCAATGAGAATATTGACTTGAAGATTGGCCAGTTAGCTGTCCTTGAAAGTGGAATTTGGGTATTGCCCAAAGATTCAATAGAGTTAGCTCCAGAGGTTAGGCAAGCCTTACTTCCAAATACATTATACTTTAAGTATATATTTTTAAATCTTGCTACTAATAGATAATTATAAAATGTGTCATGACAGGGAGCTTGGAGACCATCTAGTCTGAGTCTTTATCTTTGAGGTGAGGAAATTAAAGTCTAAAAATTCTCAAAAGCAAGTAGCTAGTCACTGACATGCTTTAATTTCATATCAGATCAGTGAAGTTCTATTAATATACACTTTAAATGCTGATTTATGAGGATGATTTTTTCCAAGCTAATAGGCCAAATTCCTAACTCAAACATACAACGTTGTTTTTGAGACTCTTCATTAGAGAACCAAATTTAACTAAAATCTGACAATGCCTTCAGAAATTACTATGAAGTTTATAATCATGGAATGTAAATAGTTGGAACATGAAAATACCTGACTTTTCTCTATCAGAGATTATTTTGCTTCCTTGTTAAATGAGTTGTGTTTTTCACTTTTAGAAATGCCCTTTTATGATTAGTTACAAAATCACTATCTTTCCAGTAATGAGAAACTAGTATTTTGGGGGGTCTTTACAGTAGCAGAATTTGAGGCATTGTTCATCCTTATGCCTATAAGTTTAATTCCATGCTAGTTGCATAATTCTTACTAATTAAATGAGGATGAAAATGATAATGCTAGCAAATAACCTGTATAGGGACTGTCCTATAGATATAGATAGATAATAGCATACATAATATAATAACATATATAATGACATTTATGTCATGTAATACTCTCAACAACTCCAAGAAGTAGAGGTTATTAACTATATTTTACAGATGAGGAAATTAGGCACAGAACAAACAAAAAAAAAACCTTTTCTAGGGAGTGTAGCTAGTCAGTGGATCATAGATTCAAATTTAAAAGATCTTAAATCTTCCAGGGACCATTTTCTTGGTCACCAGGTTTTTACATTGTTTGTACTCTCAAGAATCTTAGCATAAATATCGAGAGCAATAGCAGAGCAGTTATTGCATACCTGATGCTGGGGCATCTTTCCAGGCCGAAGAGAAGGAGTGACTGACAGGTGTAAGGGACATGAAGGCCTGTAATTGGAGCAGAAAGAAACATTTGATTGTCTCCCTTCTGTGTGTCTATGGAATGGGGAGCCTCAGTTTGGGTGATTGCCATTTCGTCAGTGCTACCAAGCATGGTGATAGTAAAAGAATCAGCAAAAAAAAAAAAAAAAAAAAAAAAAATCAGAAAAAAAAAAAAAAAAAAAGGCCTGGTTGAGGAATCCTAGGAAAACCTGGGATTACAGCCTCAATCTGTCACTTATTAGCCATGGGACTCAGAGCAAGTCGCCTGACCCTCAGTGTCCTCAGCCATCAATCAGAGAAGAGGGGGAGGAGGAGGAAGGGCTATGATGAGCAAATGAAGTCATGCATTAACACCTTGTAAATTAGAAAAAAACTACCCAATTGTAAATCTCATTATAACTTATAATTCATCTTAAAATATGTGATCCATATGGCCTTTGTTATTAAGCTTCTTTTTCTACAAAAGTATGTGTATAAGTAGAAGGAAATATTTGTGGTTTTTAATCATACTTAGCTGTCTGAGTGCTTAAGTTGTCATCTCTTAAGAATTTTTTCCTGTCACATGATTCCGTTTAGGCGTCCATCATCCCAACTGAGAGCTTTCCTTGCTTTTTGTCCAAACTGGTATGAGAGCTTAAATAGCTAAGGTGATATTTGAAGTTGGGTGATCAAATGTGTAATCGTATTATTAGAATTTTAAACAACTGGAAATACTCCTGAACTTCCACGACACAAATTTTTTTTCAACCTTGGGTGCACTGTGAGGCAGATGGCAGAAGGGGGTGCTCAGAAATGCTACTAGTCAGAGTGTAATACCAGATGCTGTGTGAGTGGAATGGCCAAACCTAAGGGGCCACGCTAGTTTACAAGCGTCATGTAGTCTCATGTACCGACCGTGGGATGTGAGCACAGCTATGATGAATAAGCAGCCTTGTGTGTTTGTGTGTGTGTGTGTGTGTGTGTGTGTGTGTGTGTGTCTCCTTCCCCTCTCTCTCTTCCTCTCTCTCCCTTCCGCTCCTCCTCCCCCCCCCCTTTCTCTTTTCCTAATTCTTCCTCAGAGTTAATACCTCCCCATTCAGATAGGGCGCCAGAGCCTTTGGTTTTGTCAGCCTGTCTTACATATTGTTTGAAGTCATGGGGCCAATACTCTAACCAGATGATTTATGGGGTCAGACCATATCGAGAATATTGTGTTTGCATTGGGGTGGGGAGCAGGACACACCTTTGGCTCACTGGCAAACTGAAATATGAGCAGAACTATGAACTATCTTTAAATTCAGTTGCGAGGGGCTTAAGGAACTGAGGGATTTCACTTGGGAAAAGAAAAGTGGTGGAAAGGGGATGGGGACACAGTCCTGGCACCCCCCTGAGGGTCAAGGAGGGGTGAAGAAAAGGAGCTCAGCTTGTTTCCCGCAACTCTCGGAAGCAGAGTGACCTCTGTAACCACTGGCCCTCTTAGGTCTTAGTCACCTTATTTGTCAAACCAGGGATTAGAGTCTTTCCCAAAGGTGCCCCCTGCTGAAGTCCTGACACTGACCAGGTCCAGGGAGTGTACATCACGGGAAGGCAGGCCTCAGAGAGCTTCCCGTTTAAGAAGGGAGCGTTCCAACGCTGCACTCGCCAAAGAAATTGAATGTGAGCCACGCAACTACCTTTAAATTTTCTAGAAGCTACATTTTTAAAAGAAACTGATGAAATTAATTCTGCTTTAACCCAGTATGTGCAAAAGTGTGGTTTCAATATGTAATCAGTGTAAAAGAATGTTAATACATTCTTTTTTCATACTAAGCCCTGAGAACCCGGTGTATGTCTCACACTGGCAGCATGTCTCCGTTTGGACCTGCCACGGGTCAGGGGCTCGGGTGCCCCGGTGGCCAGTGGCTGCCGTGTTGGGCAGCACAGCTTTCATGCTTACGACATGTCAGACCCCAGCGAACGAAGGGCTTTACATAAGCTCTTCATTTATTCCTTGCATCATTTCTCAGGGAGATTCCCATGATATCAGGAGTTTTTTAAGTATAGGGATAATATAATTCACACAAGTGCACATGACCACAGGAGCCCCAATTTGACCCCAGATCTGTCTCATCCCCGTGTTCTTAACCAGTAGGCATCCGGGGGAGGAGTGGGGGGTAGTGAGTCCCCATCATGAAGTTGGATGGCTACTTCCATGTAAGATGGCAGGGTTAGAACTTGGCAGTGGATTCCACAGGCCTGACATACAGCAGGCGTCGAAGGAAAGGGAGGCTGTATGGGCAGCTTATCTTCCAGCATCTCCTGGACAAATAAACATTCGTTAGCCCTGGCGGGCACGCTTGAGCAGCCCCAGTCATTTCGGTCATAGATAGCTTCTCTGCAGAGATGAGCTGGGAGTTTCCTGGAAGCATATATCATAAGTAGTTCCTAGAATATTACTTTAAATAAGAAATGTCACTGTGTGTGTGTTTTTAAAATCATCCCAAGGTTTTATTTTTAACCCGATGTTCCTGTTTCAGACAGTTATAATGATGATTGGGGGGAGGGGTGGGGTGGGGAGCCATGGCGGCCTCAGGAACAGCGCCATCTCCCACGTGGCTATAATTAGCTGGGTGCCCACCTTTGACTCCTGGCAGCGTGTTTATCTGCGCACTCCCAGACAGCCCATAAATCCCCAGCAGGGAAGGGTCATGGGCCAGAGGAAATGGCTGTGATCATTCTTCTCGTACAGACTTGGAATAAGTTAGAAATGAGAAAAATGATGTTTACAGATGGCTTATTGGATTTTACCCTATTTTCAAAAATAACATGTTTGGAATTAACTTGGAGGGTTTCCTCTGTCGTTTGCGAGCAGTTGCCCGATGCTTTGGAACGTAAATGTGGTTTTGTTTTCGTTTCCATTGTCCATGCTGTGTGAACATTTCCTGCTGCAGTTGAGAAGTTCAGTGTCCAGTGAGACCATGTAATGCCTTTGAAAGAACTGAGGTCCAATGCAACCGCAGGACTGCACGAAAAGTGAAATTTCAGACAGTGACTAGACCTGTTTGTAACGTCAGGCAACTTCTCTTGCTTCCTTTGTTTGGAAGGGACGCTGTATCCAGTAGCACTGTCCCCATTTAGGGAAAAGTGAGCCAACTTGACCATTTGCCTTTTATGTTAAAACTAGAGGCCCGGTGCACGAAATTTGTTCAAGGGGCTTGGCCCCCACCTGCCACAGTGGCTGCCTCAGCCTCGGCCCCCACCACCGCGGCTTCATCCAGAATGTCGTCTGGAAGGACATCCGGTCTAATTAGCATATTACACTTTTATTATTATAGATCCGTGTACGTAATTACATAACCTGATCTTTAATTAGGACGGGGTGGCTGAATACCATAAAGAAGGCACTTCCAGAGGAGTTTTCTAGGTCTTAACTCTTTACTGAGCAGCTCTTCCATTCTCCACCACCTGAAGACAGGAACCCAAGCCAGTCTGTTAGTTCCTCCACCAGATGAGAGGTTCTTAACCCGGCTGCTATGTTGGCCAACAGACAAACCACGCCCCCCCCACTACCCCCAAAACCTCCCCCCACAGACCACACAGGGCACCTGCTCACACTGGCCTTCCAACCATTTCAGAACTTTCTCAGAGCAGGAGAGATAGCCTTTGGTCTGGCTTCTAAAGTCCTGCAATATATTCAACAGGCTCCGAAGTTTTAAAGTTATTGAAGTCAGGAAAGGGGGATATTAGACATCATTCCCGCACCCTCCGTAGTAACAGCCAGATCAGCAGCACTTTTTCCTCCTCCTCCACAAAAAGTAGCCTCACTCTAAGAAGGAGAAAAAATATTTAGATAAGGAATCCTTCGGCATACTTGTGCCCATGTTACTGACAGTGTAATCCTACTATATCAGGCATAAAAAATCCAGGCCTCGATTATCAGGCGCTCACAAACTTTCTGGAGCCTTAGAGCAGATATGGTGAATTTCTGCAAGACGGTGTTATTTAAAGGATTATCTTCGAAGCTTTATTTCTGTATGTGTTGTGCACTCCCTCAGAGAAGCAGATTTCTGTACCTTAGGGCTACTGTCTGAGTCTGTCTCTTCTCTCTCTGTTTTGAAAGGACCAAAAAACTGATCATTGATGTGATCCGGAACCAACCAGGAAACACATTGACAGAAATCTTAGAGACACCTGCAACTACACAACAGGTAATTGGTCTTTGAGTGTAAAATAGTAAGTACCATAGGTATGAGTTCATTTTATTAATCTTCATGCCAAATGTTTACAACTATCTCAGAGCAACTATATCTAAAATGATTTGGAAGTAAGGAATTTTTATCTATTACTCTGGCCAACTGAGTTCAGCTATATAGGAAATCCATATGGAGAATCAAGGAAGTAGAAAATGCAGCGCTGAATTTAGGCTGAAAGTAATTTTGCCCTGGACTAGGAAGATAGTTCTGGGTTTTTCAAAGCTTCTGGATATTCATCATAAACTTTATCAGTCAGTAGCTAAGCGGATAAGTCAGTTAAGAGGTAGTTCTGGTCGACAGGATGTAGACAAATACCTTTCATATTTTATGTTTGCTAACTTGAAGAAACGAGTGTCTCACATTAAAACTTTTCGAATTCTTCAGAAGCAAATGTCTTGAGCCTGTTGGGTCATGGTACCATTATCCTGGTGTAAGTAACTGAAGTGTCATAACAATCTTGCATTAAAATCTTTATCAGCATCTTTTAAAATGCATCAGTGCCCTGGCCGGGTGGCTCAGTTGGTTCCAACATCATCCCACGCACCAAACGGTTTTCGGGTTCCATCCCCAGTTGGGACACGTATGGGAGCCGACCTACCTATGTTTTTCTGTCTCTCACTCTCTCCCTGCCAATAAACATATCCTCAGGTGAGGCTTAAAAAAGAAAAACATAAAATGGATGTTGTTCAGTTAGTTCTGAATTAATTTCAGTGTTGCTTTAGTATCAATAATTGCCACTCCCTAAACAAACGTTGACAAAATTATTTAATTAGTTCTTTCGTGGAAGAACTACACATGATCTTCCTGAATCATTCCTAATTAAATTGGTTGCCAAGAAATCATTCTGTCACAGTTTTTAAAAATATAAAATAAAATTAAGTTATCTGATGTTGGTTAATGTGTGGATATTTTTAAAGCAATGTAGGTAGAACATCCTACTAATTTAATACGAGAATTTTAGTCCTTATTCATATTTCATTTTTCCCCATATGTAGCATAGTCACTAAGAACACAGACTCCCAAGGTCAAGCATAGCTCTGTACCTCCTAGCTGTGTAATCCTAGGCACCTAGAAATATTCCCGTGCCTCGCTTTCCTCAGTTGTAAAATGGGAAGAAGAATAATAGTACCAATTCACGGACAGGAATAAATGAGTTAAAACATGTTAAGAGGATAGAATGATACCTGGCACGTATTAAGTGCTCAATAACGCTGGCTGCTACAGCTACTGTTGCTGTTTACTGCCGGCCTGGTAAATTGTTCCTGTGCCCATCATGGTGACCTGTGCACTGTGTGTCTAATAATAACATTTGTGTCCTTAGACTTTATCTGCTATGTCAGTCAATTGTCTAGCACAATGAAATAGAAAGATAGCAGTCCCTTTTATTACTTTTTTTTAAAAACTATCCAAATTACATTCATTCATTTACTTATCGTTTATTTAGGAACTTACCACTTGCTAGAATATTTTTATTCCCTTTGGTTCAAAGAAAGCCTGTAACTTTTTCAGAGATGGAAGTTTGGGGATGATTCTCTCAGTCTCTGGCTGCCTTCTCGGCTTATGAACCTCCATAAATAGGGATGATGCGTGAGGGTGTAGCTGAGTGCTGCATGTTCAGAGCTCTCACAGCCGTGTGTTGTTGTTGTTTTCATGGGTAATTTAGTTTTAATTTCTTGCAACTGGACTATCCAGGAATTCTAATCCTTCCATCCAGGGAATTACAAATATCAGTGATCCATTGTATTATGTCCATGATGAGAGCGATTTGTTACCTTAGCAGGAAAGTAGCTATTGGACTTTGTCCCTAGAAGGCCTGACACCACTGCTATGTTTCTCAAAAAGGTGAAGTAATTCCTTCCCAAAGACCTACCTCAAGACCCATGAAGAACACGTCTGGTCTCTGGACTTTGGTTTGAGGACTTCTTTCATTTTGACATTTGCTTGCCTTGTGCAGGTTCTAAATCTGTGGGATGAGGGAGTCAGAGAAAAAGCAACGTCTTGATATTTTTCGCTTTTCAGGAAACAGCTCATGCCACGGACATGGAGAGCCGTGCAATTAAAGATTCCAAGGCTCCAGAAGAAATGAAGGATGGACAGTCTATGATGGAAGATGCACAGCTGCCCCTTGAGCAGAAGAAGAGGAAAATCCAGAGGAATCTTCGGACATTGGAACAGATGGGACACATGTCATCCACAAATAAATACCAGGACATTCTCAATGAGATTGCCAAGGTTTTTGGAAATAATATTCTTTCTTAGCAGACATTTGCTAACCATGGGTCACATTCTGAGCGATCTGGGAGGTGACACGAGGGATTCCTACTTGTATATGCCATGGTCAATATTACAGATTGTTAAGGTTTCAAAGCAGTTGCTGACTTTTAATAATGACCATAATTCCCCCAAATCAGTATAAGAGTTGACACATACCGGAAATAAATGCTCTAGAAATGTAATAGACACGTTTCATCTTCTAAGCAATACCTACTGGTCTCAAGGTGACCCTTTTAGGAGAGTTCTCTCTGGAGTTGTTAGTTGTCTTATTGCCCAATTGCTCTTAGGACCTGCTACTGAGGTGGTAAATTTACATCCCTGAAAATGTGCCTCTAAATGCAGTTCTGACTTAAAGGTTAGCTTCTCTTTTCTCGTCCCGTATTTTTACAGTTGAGAAGCTTCCTGAGCAGAGGCTCTCAAATTAGTGCAAGGAAACACCACAGGAACTGGCTGAGATCTGTTTGCCGAGGATAAGAAAGTATATGGTTTCAAAGGATATCTGGGTTCAAAGGACATTTCATTCTTTTTACCCACACACGCTCTTTAAAATGGGTCTAGAGGTTAAGAGCAGTTACGTGACCAGAGACAAACATTTCTTACTTCTGGGAGGGAAGTGCACTCAGCTTCGTGCTTCTGTGGAACATCATGGTCAGTTCTAGCAGCGGCTGTTTTCCCCAGCAGATGACTCAAGGGAAGCCGTGCTTCTTTCTGTCGCTCTGGGTGGGAAATGTTTCTCTTTGAGAATGTGTAGTAGAGAAACCAATGCTTCTTTGCTTTTCCATCAAGAAAAAAATAAACCTTAGCAACTCTCTTAAAGTGAAACATGGGCACTTGCCAGTTCAGAAGTGAAGAGGGAAGGGTGTGAGAGATTACAATAAAGTGACTGAGATAAACAACAAGTTAACAGTCACCAATTCCGGTTTGATACTTGATACTCATCTTGTCTCAAATTGGCAAGATTGTAAAGCTCACTTCTGCTTAAATCTCACATAGCTTTTACTTGTTTTAGGATATTCGAAATCAAAGAATCTATCGTAAGCTTCGAAAAGCTGAATTGGCCAAACTGCAGCAGACCTTGAAAGCGCTTAACGAGAAGGCAGCATTTTATGAAGAGCAAGTTAATTATTATGACACCTACATAAAGACTTGCTTAGACAACTTAAAAATAAAGTAAGTTAAAATCATATATTCACTTGCAATGTCATAAGTTATATGGGATGTCAATTCTTTTATAGTCTTGGGCTGTTGGGTTGGGTTCGGAAGCATCTTTTGCTTTATTTTATAACCAAAAACTAGAATCTCAATTTTATGAATTGGCACTGTGAACTAAGAAGTCAGGACTGAATTTAGAAACGTCGTAATTCCCCATCAGCGTAATTTTATACCTGAAATTAAAGTAGCTTAGCTTTAACACTTGGGGAAGAACTTTCATTATTTTTTTTTGTCTTTTTTAGTCAAAAATGTCTTTTAAGCACTATTATAAAAAATAAAGCCTACTCTTGTTTTTTGGAATGTTTACAATAAACAATAATTTATACTCTTGGTAATGTTAGATAACACCAGATATTTGCTAATTGCATAGCAGCCTAATGATTTTAAATTGCTTAGAGGTTTTAAAAAATCATTATTGATACAAAAGACAAAATTTGGCAGTTCTCTGTTACCCATTATCATATATAGCATAGATTTTCAATATGCATTATAGCTACTCTTAATGAGTATTATTTGTTCATAATTATTCTTATCGTTAGACTAAGGTCAGTACTTAATAAAATTTTAATTACCCTTTTAAAAAGATAATACAGTATTTTTGTGTAATGATTGTTGTCAACCTGACAGTAGGAAATGGTT